TACATTACACAACAACTACAACCACACAACAACTACAGCTACAACTACAACAACAACAACTACTACTACTACAACTACTACAACTACAACTACAACTACAACTACAACTACAAAACAACTACAGCTACAACTATATGACTGCAACTACACTACACTAATTACATTACACCGCAACTACAACTCCACTACGCTACAACTACAACTACAGTTGCAGTACATCAGTGAGGTGACCACTGCAACCATTGCAACCACTCCAGCAAACACAACTCCAACCACCTTTCGGTCAATCAGTGGCTTCGCTCTGCCATCCCTGATTCACAACAACCAACATCTCCTATAGGTTTCCTATTTTTGAAACTTCCGCCACCGCCTTGTGCGGTACTACTGGTATGCATTGTCACACGCACATATCCGCGCACCTATGATAAATGATAGACATATTATGTACGTACATACTATATCGTATCGTACCATGCCATGCTATGCCGTTGCGTTGCATTGCTTTGCATTGCCATGCATTGCACATGACACGACACGACATGACCTACCTACCTACATCCATCCCAAACCATGCCATCCCATCCCATGCCATGTCATCCCATCCCATTCCATGCCATGCCACACATACATGCATGCATGCATACATGCATAGATACATAAACACATAGATACCGAGATTGCGATGCAGAGAGAGAGAGAGAAATAAATAAATAGATAGATAGATAGATAGATACCTAGATTCGTAGAGACATAGACTTATATACCTATAGTATATACGTATAGATACTTAGATACGTAGATACGTAAATACGCAGATACGCAGGTGCGTACATACGTAGATACAGACAGACAGGCGGGCAGGCAGACAGACAGGCAGACAGACAGGCATACATACATTGGACATACATAAATAGCTACATAGCAGCGGACATGTGCATTTATTTAATCCTATTCAGATTACTTGATGCATTTGTATGTTCATAGTATTCTTGTCTTGAGTCATGCAGTTTGCTGCTGGATTGTGCTTCGCTCATGGAGTTCTGCCAAGGAAAGTCTCGGAGGGGCTATTCAAATTGATAGCAACGCACGCGAAGTGCGCTATTGGCTGGACCAACTTGGAAACCTGCAGACTGGCTGGCAAGGCTCGCGGCAAAGGGCTTTTCTCCATCCGTCTTCGCTGCTTTTCAAGGTGGGGTTGCTCATGACGCTTGTGGACCCTGCTTTTTGTTTGTGGTTTTCTTAATGCTTCACATGATTGTTCCACGATTTTAGTGGTGTTGCATTCCTAGTGTATACATTGCGCAGTCCAACTCTTGAGGTTGCAAAAGCAACGATTCCAGTGCATCCCAGCATTGCTCACATTGCAGGAAAGTTCATACTCGTGTCCATATGTAATGTTCTCAGTCACTCAGCTGCATTTCAGCTGTGTTGAATTGTTGCGCCCTGGGCTTATTCAACAATCCTGTTGCTGGAGCAGAGGAACACGTCCAGCTGATGTGCAGTCGGCATTCGCTTAACAACATCCTATCATATCCTACCGGTACATAGTAAAGATCAAGAGGTACAGTATGACAGCTCCACCTGGGTAGAGGGATATTTCCAGGTTGCGGTGGGTATGCGGGTTTACTGATTGGTCGCGTCCTTGTTTGTTTCGATTTTCTTCGGTGAGACTGTTGCAGATGACAATAATATAAATATATATATATACTAAATAAACATAAATAAACTTGGAAGATAAGCACATGCGCGGACATACACACATATATGATCATAGATGTGTATGAATATATATATATATTATGTAGGTTGTATTGTAATGTGATGTGATGTGATGTAATGCAATGTTTATACGTATTTGTTTGTATATATAATATTCCAACATATTATCACATATCTTAGATTGTGTTCAAGTGATTCAAGTGTACCTCATAATTGCACATTTACACAGTGTCACATGCACCTTTCTCTATCTCTTAAATGTTGTAGCAAGCAAGTCAATAACCCTATTGCAACCATGCGCATTCACACACACACACACGCACACACATATATATATATACACGTATATATAACACACACACACACAGAGACATACGTACGTACGTACGTACGTACGTACATATCTATCTATCTATCTGTCTATCTATCTATCTATCTATCTATCTATCTATCTATCTATCTATCTATCTGTGTGTGTGTTCATGCGTATACATGGTTTATTGTGTGTGCGTGTGCGCGAGCCTGCATGCCTGTAGCTGAAAGTGCCAGATTGGCTTGCTGTATTTCATGAGTGGCGGCTAAGGACAAGACCGTCCAGCAACAAAGCCACATTGCCGCACCGAGATGTACGGAGTCGCACTATGTCGCACTTCCATCGTCTCAGTCCATTCTTGATCGTTTTTTTTGGGGCCAGGATGTGAGGAAGATGAAGTAAATTGATTCAACGGGAATTGCATGTCATGCAGTATGCTTTGACGTCATGTAGATGTTCGGCAATGGATGAAAGTATGCATCAGCACCACTTCTTTTGCCAAGACAATGCTGAACATCCCACGAAGCTGGTCCTGACTGGTTGTTCGGAGGGATCAGTATCTCGGCTTGCAGCTAGTCTCCAAAGGTCAAAAGGCACACATTGACATGGAGATGCGTGGAGATCTGACAAATTAGAAAGACATGTGAAACAAACCAATAAGATTTGATGCAGTCAAAACTTCTGGCTGCGGGGCTGCCGCATGTCCCGCAGTACCAAACCAAACATTCTGCCAGTTCTACCGGTTGTTTGTTGTTTGCCTCTTTGATTCATCACTTCCTTGCAGGTCTATGCGCTGCTTCTGTTTGGGGGAGCGCTTGACGTGGACCACCAGCAGGTCTACTCTCAGAGCTTCAAATTTTCTTCGATCATGCAATTTCAATTTGTTCCTTTCTGCGCAGGCGGAGGTTTTCCTCGATGGTGGCCGCTGCAGCTTTTCAGGTGGAAGCACAACGGTTGTAGCGATGCTGCAGCGTTTACGTCAGGCCACAGTCTCAGCACGTCTCATTTTAGGACTATTTAGGACCCGGGACAAATTCAGCCGGGAAGCCGTCCAAGGCCAGCAGAAAACTAGGAGTACCGTCCGTCTTCATCCGTCTTCCGTGTTAAAAGTTTGTAGGCTTGTAGGCATCAAAAAAACATTGTTTCAGGATGAGTGGAAAGTAATGCATATAATGTATTGTAATATGTATATATGTATATATATATAATGCTATATGAATTATCGGACTGTGCTGGAAATGTCACATAGAAATGGAAACAAAATGCTAGCGGCAGCCACGCTGAGAAGGCCTATCGTATTCTATCGTTCATTTCCTTCTGGTATTTTGATGTTTATTCCAACTCCCAGCTGCATGTGGGAGAGTTTGTTCTTGAGCATAGAAGGCCCAGAGCTTCGTATGTTGCAATCAAAATGTGCGGCGAATTCTTCATGATTCTTCTTTCTTATGGACTGAAATCTTTTGATCCCTTTTCGGAAGATGGAGAGCATAGAGGCTAGCAGACTGAATGTGCATTACATTTGGCCCATCACAGACTGAGATATGTTATGATAGAATTACACATTTCACAGCAAAGCCATCTTGCTAAGCTTAGGCTATTGATGCCTTGCTGCTGCAGAAAATCCACACGCCCTCCATGTCTATTGCTGGCACAGCAGCTGCGCAATGCGTGGCAGTCTTGCTGAGCACGGACGGTTTGGGGGTTGCGGAAGAAAAGTGAAAGGATATGATGACATGATGGTTTCCCAGACTGTCAGAAGCCATCCAAAGATAAACAACCCGGCAGGGTGGAAACCGCGCCAGCGGTTGTGCAATTTTTGAAATAATAGTATGACACCACAGCGGTGTAGCGATCATGTCAAGACATGGCTTCGAAATTCCCAGGGATCTTCCGGGTGGAATTCAACAACATTCATACATGTAGTGCGTTTTACAGTTAGAATGTTCTCTTTTTTCCCCTTCATTTTCAGAGACGCTTCATCAGTGCAACTTAGCATGAACGTTACTTCCCCGCCCCACCCCAACCCCATGACGTAGCGTAAAACATCTCTAGGGGGACGCACCTGCAGCGTACCGTAGGATCAGGTGTGCAAGTTATATAACATAAACGCTACTGCTCCACCCCAGCCCCACCCCAGCCCCACCCCAACCCTATGACGAAATGTACAACATCTCTAGCGGGACACACCTGTGGGGCGCAAAAGTTTACATGAACGTTACTTGTAGGACACATCTGTAGCGTAGGATCAACTGTGCAAGTCAACATGAACGTGACTGCCCCACCCAGCCCCATCCCACAACATAAATACACAGTGTTGAAAACGCACCTACCTACGTACACGCGCGGTTTCCAAAAGGCTGGCATAAACAATATGTTGCAGTATCTGTCAATTGCTGTGGCCCCGGTGTTGCCGCAAAGAAAGCGAAATAAAGTCGTATGTTTGTGGCTTGCACTTCCGGGTTTGTTCGCAGATTGGATTGCCTGTTGGGTACAGTAGATCTTTCCAAGGGGCATCCTGGATACTTAGAAGTTGGGCGTTGTTTGGGTGGCCTAGTCCATCCGAGTCCTGCCTCTGACCAATTTCTTCAGCTCGTGCTTCACGTTTTCTTGAGGCCAGTCCCCAGTTTTACGCAAGTTTGTATATTGTGACGTTACGGTGCGAGATTATCATCAATTCAAAGCGAGGGGGTGGGTGTGGATTGCCAAATCTTGAAGCCAAGAAGAAGGTTTGTTGGAAGTAGCCTGAGGTAGCCCAATGTTGTCCAAGGATTCAATACAAATTTAGATCGAAGTCATCGCGCGGCACCATGATCGCAGGCATTGTAGACCATAATGACAGTTGCTCCGATTTAGAGTTGAACCTTGGAAGACCAGTATAGGAAGAAATTTCAAAGCAACGGCTGCAGAAGCAGGGAAGGAATTGCAGGGTCCTTGATGATTCTGACTGGCTTTGGCACCAAATTTCAGC